CTCACCATCTGCTCCCATCCAAGTGGATGATCATCACAAAAGAAACATACACAAGCAACACAAACAAGCAAGGGTGAGCTAGATATAAAAAGCATGTTATTTAATCACACACGACATGCAAAATTCACTCAAACATGGTAAAATGACATCACAAGACTTGTTGCTTTATAAACCGACTCGTCCGAACTAGAATGATTACCGAGCTATGGCGGGTTATGCACTCGTGGTGGTCTCTACTGCTTTGCAAAGCCATTGCCAATGGGTTTCACCCTTCCACACTCACGAGGTTAGTCCGTTCCACGCCCTGGAGCATACTGGAAGCCTCCAAGACTAGGACCTCCTACTACTCCTCACCACATGGATCAATCCTCTCTACTTGAGAATGAAAGACCATTGAAGCGTCAGGAAAACCCCCAAGACTGAGCTACCATGCAATCATTTTACACATTACTAGGGCACCACCATGTATCCTCTCCTTGAGGATCATGGAATTACGTCAATGAACCACACTGTCACTTTGAAACTTAACTCAAGACATAAACAACCAAATACCATCATATTATCACAGTGAATCCAAACATATCTCATACACTCGCATACCTCCAACATAATCACATGATAATATCATACTATGCATTCCACACACTGGATTCAATCAAAGGAAAGCAAAAGAAGATACTTGACCCAAAAGGAATCGCACAGCGCACCCGTACTCGCTAGGCGAGACCAGTGAGTCTCGCATGGCACACCCAATTAATTCACTATGCGAATTAACTCGCTGAGGCTACAGGTCTCGAGTCCTCTCACATAGCGCACTCAGGTCGTTATGCGAGAGCGTAGATAGAGAACACACCTCAAAGACTTCTCGCTATGCTCCCATCGCGCACTTCAAATTTAAATAGGAATTGTTCCAGACCCTCAACAGTCGCACATCGACCAGATTCGGTATGCGGATCGATAGACATAGAGCAACACTCTCTGGTCATTCTCACAGCGCATAAGCTCGCACAGCGAATAACCAAGACAGTGAGTACCCTCTACAGGGTTTCGCTATGTGAGACAACTCGCATAGCGACTTTGCATAATCTGCAGAATCACCTACTCACCCACTCCTTACCACTTCTAGGCCTTTCTTCCAACTTCTAATACCTCTAATTCATATTTCGTATCTAGTTAAACTTGTTTAGATGATATAAAGTGTTATTAACATGATTCTAAAGTAATCAATACCCAACTTTTAATTTAAAACTCCAATTTTATTAACCTAAGAACCTAATCTCAATTCTACCATGTTGCTCATGACTTTACTCAGTTTTATGACCATAACCAGTTCCAATTGACTCAACCAAGCTAGCCAAACTGCCCAATTGGTCACCGGAGAAGAACCCAATGTCTGAACGCATCAAACTCACCTTCGACGCCAACACATATGATTAGTCACAACTGATTGGATCAGACCAGGGCTGCTCTATGATCAGGGATGTGCCAACTCAGGTTTTTAAGGTCCCTCTATCCTACCAACAAAGTACTCTCAATAAGCCACAATTAATTTATGTAAGTCATCCAAACTATCCTATGGTGTTCTAGACTCCAAAATCCCAATTTCAGTACCTCACTTCCCCTCACAGTAACCTAAAACAGTACCTGTTCACCTACTTACTATCCATATTAACAATATTGCAGAATTCTTACTCCAAACCTCTCCAACAATTATCAAGTACAACCAACAAACTCATCCAAGTCAAATAATAATCAGCATACCATGGTTACACAAATTTCACATTTTCAACAAATGCAACTCAACATGCTCACCACCAACAATATAGTATAATAGTAAGACAAATCACAATTTATCAAACATGCACATCATACAGCTCCTAAAAAAATATAACTAGCTCCCCTTACCTGGGTTTCTCCAAGCAAAACTAATTGAAACTGCCCTAGCAGTACCCTTTACAACACGAGAACTCAACCTGACCCTACAAACCACCAAAGTGGTGACAGCAATAGCTCTTAGAGCTTGATTTGGCAGAAAATATGAAGACGAAACCCCACTAGCAACATGCAGCCAGTAACGTTGCTTGCTTGGGCTCCTGAAACAGCGAAGGAAAGGGGAAAAATCACTTACCGGTCCAAATGAAAATATAATCGGGTCAAAAGGAAACCCTTGGTGTGGTGAACGCCTGAGCACCTTCAAATCCAAGATTGAATGGTTCAGTGAATGGAAATTTTTAGAGAGAAGGCAGAGAAAATTTAAGACAAAAGAGTTTTAGAGAGAGAGAACTCAAGCAAATGAATCAAACTTCTGAGAAGTCTTTCCTAAGGCTAAGTTATCCTTGGTTTGATGGGCTTGGCTGCCTCAAGNTATCAAGTAAACTTAGAAATCTTACACATGTCATCTCTTGTCTCTATCTTACAAGAGTTATAATTTTACAATACAAAGATGAAAAACATTAGTACAATGAAATGTTTTGACATCGATTTTTTTTGTCATTATACTTTGGTTCTACAATTGAAACATATCCAGGTAATGTAAAATAGGAAAGTTTTAGACTTAGTGAACCGAAGCCTATACTTCAAAAATAGGCTTTGGTTGGTAAGACAACCAAAAACATAAAATGATTAAAAAAAATAATAGGTTTCGGTCAAACGCTAGTGAGAGTGAGAAAAAAAGTGAGAGAGACCAAGACCAACTACTTAAAAGTGAACCAACAACCAATACAACAGTAATGTTGTGGCATCCTAAATGCAACAAATCATGACCAACACAAATCTACAATGTTGAGAAGAAAAAAAATATTAGGAGAAGGAAGAGAAAAACAATAATGAAAGGAAGAGATAAACGAGAAACAAGAAGGAAAAAAGGAATCTCAATGAAAGTTATTTTGAAGGAAAACGTGAAATTGTAGCGAGCTCAGAAGAAGAATGTAGTGGTGCCATGCAACAAGACCTTTCACTGGTCATAAAAATTCAAAAATTGTCCTATGTATATGTGTATAGGATTCAATTTAACTTAGAATCGATGCCTATACTTTGACATTCAGGTAAAGCCTTTTAAAAATACAATGAAAATTTTGAAAATATTTGCTCAACTATGATTCTTTAAAGAATTAAAACATATAATTGTTAAATATTTTAAAGAATGTCATCGCTTCATAATAGACTTTGGTTCTTTAAAGAACTGAAGCATGTACTCATTTGATTAAGGTATAAGCTTCGATTATCCTTGAATCGGTGCCTATAATTGTAAAATTATTTTCAAAAATGTCACTTCATCATTTAACACTTAAATTACAGTTGATAACCTATAATACCAATATGTCACTTCAATACACTTAAAATTGATTCATCCCTAGTTATTTCTAACTCATGATTGTATCAACGATTCCAAGTAATTAGATTACTAAAGTGATATCTTAGGTTAACACACCTATTAAGCATAAAATTCATTAATCAGTTTATCAATACAAATCATAATTTCTGAAAGCCATCTATCTTAGGCTTTGATATGTGTGTTTTCAACTAAAAAATAAAGGGAATGCCTAGATAAATTAGTTAGGAGCACACTATCAAAACTAGTTTTGAAAAACTATGCATATTCATTGAGTGAGAATGCAAAACCTACATTCTAGAGAGCTCTAACGCTTTTACTCTCTAGGCGAACAATCCCTCATTGACCGATATTGTCAAAAGAGGTATTTGGAGGTATGTTCGTTGAGCGAGTAAAAGAGTGGTTGAGTGGAAATTAAAATATCAAAAACTTAAAAATGAGGTGCGTGTTTGACTCACTGGACGAGAGGTTTTTCATTGAGTGATTTTTTAAAGATTTTAGTCTTAATACACTCGTTGGACAAGTCTACACTTTGTTGAGCGACAAAAGTTTATGTTAAGACAAATAACATTATTGACATATTTTCATTGTACAAGTAATGTAATCGTTGGGTGAGTCTCATTCTAGTGGGGACTCGCTGACCAACATATGTATTCATTGAGTGGTAATATACATTCATGAACTCATAAATATGGTTTTAAATTTTTTTTATTTTGTGGTGTGGTTTAGTATGAATTGTGTGGAATGAAAATATAATGGTTTCTAAGGTAGGAATACTATTATATGTAGTAATGTGCAAAGTGAATTGACAATAAAGTTGAATTGGAATTATCCTAATTATTAATATTTGAATCACATAGATAAAATATTCAATTGTGAGAGTCGAATGAGATTTTTATTTATAAATTCGGTAAGAATTCAAACTTTGAAGATATAAATTTTACTCATTTATAATATTTGAGAAGAGTGTTACGTGATTATGATATAATTATAACTCTTAAAAAAGTATATGAGAGGGTTAGTGATGAAAAATGAAGAGTCCAATATCTTTCTAGTTAATGAATGATTAATTATATTTTTAAAAATTAATTTCAATTTCTTATGAAAGACATCTTATACTTGTGTTTGCTTACGTTTTCTTATTGATGATGTACTTAGATAATCTTATTAAATTTAGGGGCTATTTTTTTATGAGAAAATTACTATATTATTTTGTATTAAAAACGGTACAATAAATAACAGTGATACATAAACATTAAGTTATAACTAAATAGAAAAAAAAGATTAAAGGGACTATAATAACATAGGTTTTGAATATTGATCTTGAAAAGATGGGTGATGTGCTCCTTATTATATTAATACGAGGAAACAACAAAACATTTGTTCCTGGATTGCCAAGTTGCTTATCGACTGACTGGTTTCAAAGCACTTTTTTTTTCTCTTTTCATCCACGAATATTCAATAGAACACGTAACTATTGAGATATAAGGTGTAAATTTGGTAATATTTTTAACAGATGATATAGTAAAAATATAATTTATGTGAAATTAGACACATGACTTTTATGCTAATTTTATGTTAATTCGAAAAGTGTGTTTTTTTATTATTATTTTTGTGAAATTTAACATGAAATGAAAATATTTAAGCAGTGTAGTGAGATTTTAACGTCAGAAAATATCTGGAAGTACTGTATTGGATTATGATGACTTATCTAACGGCTTATATCTCTATAAATGCTACAACCGCCGGGTCATCATGCTCACAAAACACTTAGAATATGGATTTCTCCATCTTCATCCACTTCAACGACTTGATACCAGGGTTACCGACAGACCTTGGACTCGAGTGCCTCACTCGTTTGCCCCACTCAGCGCACCGAGTCGCGCTCCGAGTCTGCAGACAATGGCACCACCTCCTCCAGAGCGACCAATTCTACATACACCGCAAGAAAACCGGCCGCACGCGAAGAGTCACGTGCCTCGTTCAGGCGCGTCATGACCAACCGCGCCACGACAAACACACTGGCTCACTGCCACCGTCTTACGGGATTAGTTTGTTCGACCCGCAGAGCATGGCGTGGGACCGGGTCGAACCGGTCCCGGAATACCCATTCGGGTTGCCGCTGTTCTGCCAGCTGGCGAGCTGCGACGGGAGCCTCGTGCTCATGGGAGGGTGGGACCCGGCGAGTTACGAGCCCTTGACGGCGGTGTTTGTTTACGACTTTCGAACGAGCGAGTGGCGGCGGGGGAAAGACATGCCGGAGAAGCGGTCGTTTTTCGCGATCGGGTCGGGGAGGGGTCGGGTTTATGTGGCGGGAGGGCATGACGAGAATAAGAACGCGCTGAGGTCGGCGTGGACTTATGACCCGAGGCGCGACGAGTGGGCCGGGGTGGGCCCGATGGGCCGTGAGAGGGACGAATGCGAGGGGGTTGTGGTGGGGGATGAGTTTTGGGTTGTGAGTGGATATGGTACGGAGAGGCAGGGCATGTTTGACGGGTCGGTGGAGGTGCTGGATCTTGGGTCGGGTCAGTGGAGAGAGGTTAACGGGGTTTGGGAAGAGGGTCGGTGTCCTAGGTCTTGTGTTGGGGTTGGGAAAGATGGGAAACTGGTGAACTTTAGAGGTTTGGATCCGGGTCTTAAGGTTGGGGTTTGTGGGGTTGCGATCGGGTCGAGGGTTGTGTTGAGTGGATCCGAATACGAAGAGGCAGCTCACGGGTTCTATTTGGTGGACATGGAGGAGGGGCAGAATCGTAAATTGAAAAGTATAAGTGTTGCTGAGGGTTTCTCTGGGCTTGTTCAATCAGGGTGCTGTGTTGAAATTTAGTGAGGGAGTGATGTGTAATATAATAATTTTACCATACAAATATCACATGTATATTACTTTTTATTTGATAGTCCTTGTACATTTTTCAAATTACGCTTCTCTATCAGAAAATTCTTAAATCAACGATCTGCAGTAACATAATGCAACTGATATAGCTTCCACTAACACAAACTAACGTTGGGATGTTGAGTATGTTAAAAGAGTGTTTCGTTCTCAAAATTTTTCCCTTTTTGAATGGTGATAATGAGGTTTCAACTTATCATACCCCAAAAGCTATTTAAACCTTCATTTTACCAGAAAATTTTCTCACTCAACTTCAACATAACCAGCAAAATTACAGTCGGCATGTCTGCCCAATCTAATTTTATGACACTGATTTCTTACTTTACCATTGACTTATACTAATAATCAAATTAAACATAAGTTCTGCCAATAGTTAATAAGTAATTAGTAAATATTATCATTTATGTAAGCAATCATAATAATCATCAAATTAAATTAATTAACATTGTGGCATCCCAATTATATACACAAGCATATAAAATAAAGACGTCATCATGCATAATATAAAAAAACGGTCAAGAATAATTAAGATTACAGTCATCCTCAAAGTAACTCCACAATTTAAGCTTAAATAAAATAGAGTCTAAATTGGAAGCTAAAAAAAAAGAAAAGTATTCCAAAATACAGGAAATAACTAATAACGCCCTAAGGAGACTAGGCAGCAGCATTGTCCTCATCTTTCAAAGTTGTCTTCAAAAGAACCTTCTCACCATCTGCTCCCATCCAAGTGGATGATCATCACAAAAGAAACATACACAAGCAACACAAACAAGCAAGGGTGAGCTAGATATAAAAAGCATGTTATTAAAACACACACGACATGCAAAAATCACTCAAACATGGTAAAATGACATCACAAGACTTGTTGCTTTATAAACCGACTCGTCCGAACTAGAATGATTACCGAGCTATGGCGGGTTATGCACTCGTGGTGGTCTCTACTGCTTTGCAAAGCCATTGCCAATGGGTTTCACCCTTCCACACTCACGAGGTTAGTCCGTTCCACGCCCTGGAGCATACTGGAAGCCTCCAAGACTAGGACCTCCTACTACTCCTCACCACATGGATCAATCCTCTCTACTTGAGAATGAAAGACCATTGAAGCGTCAGGAAAACCCCCAAGACTGAGCTACCATGCAATCATTTTACACATTACTAGGGCACCACCATGTATCCTCTCCTTGAGGATCATGGAATTACGTCAATGAACCACACTGTCACTTTGAAACTTAACTCAAGACATAAACAACCAAATACCATCATATTATCACAGTGAATCCAAACATATCTCATACACTCGCATACCTCCAACATAATCACATGATAATATCATACTATGCATTCCACACACTGGATTCAATCAAAGGAAAGCAAAAGAAGATACTTGACCCAAAAGGAATCGCACAGCGCACCCGTACTCGCTAGGCGAGACCAGTGAGTCTCGCATGGCACACCCAATTAATTCACTATGCGAATTAACTCGCTGAGGCTACAGGTCTCGAGTCCTCTCACATAGCGCACTCAGGTCGTTATGCGAGAGCGTAGATAGAGAACACACCTCAAAGACTTCTCGCTATGCTCCCATCGCGCACTTCAAATTTAAATAGGAATTGTTCCAGACCCTCAACAGTCGCACATCGACCAGATTCGGTATGCGGATCGATAGACATAGAGCAACACTCTCTGGTCATTCTCACAGCGCATAAGCTCGCACAGCGAATAACCAAGACAGTGAGTACCCTCTACAGGGTTTCGCTATGTGAGACAACTCGCATAGCGACTTTGCATAATCTGCAGAATCACCTACTCACCCACTCCTTACCACTTCTAGGCCTTTCTTCCAACTTCTAATACCTCTAATTCATATTTCGTATCTAGTTAAACTTGTTTAGATGATATAAAGTGTTATTAACATGATTCTAAAGTAATCAATACCCAACTTTTAATTTAAAACTCCAATTTTATTAACCTAAGAACCTAATCTCAATTCTACCATGTTGCTCATGACTTTACTCAGTTTTATGACCATAACCAGTTCCAATTGACTCAACCAAGCTAGCCAAACTGCCCAATTGGTCACCGGAGAAGAACCCAATGTCTGAACGCATCAAACTCACCTTCGACGCCAACACATATGATTAGTCACAACTGATTGGATCAGACCAGGGCTGCTCTATGATCAGGGATGTGCCAACTCAGGTTTTTAAGGTCCCTCTATCCTACCAACAAAGTACTCTCAATAAGCCACAATTAATTTATGTAAGTCATCCAAACTATCCTATGGTGTTCTAGACTCCAAAATCCCAATTTCAGTACCTCACTTCCCCTCACAGTAACCTAAAACAGTACCTGTTCACCTACTTACTATCCATATTAACAATATTGCAGAATTCTTACTCCAAACCTCTCCAACAATTATCAAGTACAACCAACAAACTCATCCAAGTCAAATAATAATCAGCATACCATGGTTACACAAATTTCACATTTTCAACAAATGCAACTCAACATGCTCACCACCAACAATATAGTATAATAGTAAGACAAATCACAATTTATCAAACATGCACATCATACAGCTCATAAAAAAATATAACTAGCTCCCCTTACCTGGGTTTCTCCAAGCAAAACTAATTGAAACTGCCCTAGCAGTACCCTTTACAACACGAGAACTCAACCTGACCCTACAAACCACCAAAGTGGTGACAGCAATAGCTCTTAGAGCTTGATTTGGCAGAAAATATGAAGACGAAACCCCACTAGCAACATGCAGCCAGTAACGTTGCTTGCTTGGGCTCCTGAAACAGCGAAGGAAAGGGGAAAAATCACTTACCGGTCCAAATGAAAATATAATCGGGTCAAAAGGAAACCCTTGGTGTGGTGAACGCCTGAGCACCTTCAAATCCAAGATTGAATGGTTCAGTGAATGGAAATTTTTAGAGAGAAGGCAGAGAAAATTTAAGACAAAAGAGTTTTAGAGAGAGAGAACTCAAGCAAATGAATCAAACTTCTGAGAAGTCTTTCCTAAGGCTAAGTTATCCTTAGTTTGATGGACTTGGTTGCCTCACATAAGGCCCAATGACTCCTTTATATTATTACAGCCCTCTCATAAATTTTACTGATTTATTATTTTTACTGGAAGTTCTCTTCACAATATTTATTTTAGAGATATTAAATTTTCTCTTATCTTTTACTTCTCTTTATCCAAATAATTCAAGAAAAATATATTTTTTGTTTTATTTTTTCTTCTCTTTAAAAAGTAGACAAAGTATTGATTCCTCTGTATGGCAAAATGATATGTTTACTTGAACTATTAAAAATGTATTCTATTATATACTAATGTAGAGTAATATATATATTTTTTTTAAATTAATTGTTACATTTATAAAAAAACGTGTGAATTGTATACTAATTCCACATATTATATTAAAAATTATAACTTATAAAAGCAATGTGTTTTTTAGTGTGAACATCATCATATTCAGGACAAATGTTTCATTAAATATAAGTGACAGAAAAATTAGACAAGACACAAATACCTAGATATTTAATACGAGAAAGTTACACTATGCAATGAAAAAAAAAATAACATGGTAAATATACAGGACCTGAATATTTTAAGATGAGAATGGTGTTATAAATAATATACTATTAAAATATAATGAGTATTGGAATGAAAATAATATACTAAAAAACAAAATATTATGAATATTTTGTTTGAAATAAAATAAAGAAACGATTCTATCAAAATCGAGGAAGATTGATGGGAAAATTATTTATGACAATATTCTTCAGAGTACTTAAGTTATAACCTAACTTATATTAGGATTAAGTTAGATCAAACTTCTTTTGTAAATAAACTAACACTTCTCTAATTTATTTATTTTTTTGTAGATTAAGTGCAAAATACGAGAGATGACAAACTGTGTTATTTTTACCAACAAATCATGTTTTAAGTTTAAAAACTTAATTAAAATAAAAAATATTCAAAATAAATTAAATGAATACCTAAGATAAAAAAGTCACCTAATTTAACATAAAAACATCTTCGACGAAAAAACCATTTACATTCATATTATAAAGAGGAATATACTAGATTTTCAGAAAAATATTTCCTTATAAATTTAGCGGTAAAGAGGAAAAAACAGTGAAAACATGTCTTAATAAAAAAATTTATAAATAAGAACTTAATATTATCTTCCACCTAAAACATCAAAATTATAATTAAGACATCTGTGTGAGACCCTAGTTAGCAATAATAATCTCTGTCACATCAAGTTAATGCATCCACGTTCACGGTTCAGAAACGTTAAAAGCGCACTTTGCACCGCATGCACGCACACCACGTGTCACGAGAGAAGCTTCCAATTCAGAAGTGGGTGTGCAGGTGTCGGCTTGGGAGACGTTCGTCCAAACGAATGTGGATTGAACAAAAATGGATTTTTCGAAAAACTCTCTCTCTCCTGCACGCACTCTTCATCTTCCTCTGAGCTCAAACCTCCATTTTTCTCCACCTTCTCTCTAGAACCTCCCAACTTCTCTCTACTGTAAATCACAAAAAAATTCTCCGATCACGTTTCAGCACCGTAGGAGAGTTCGCTGAACTGAGAGCTACACATTGGACCGAACAGTTTCAAGAACTGAAACTGGTAAGTTCTCCTTCAGTAGCTCGTCCTTAGGTTTTCTGGAAACCAGGTTTTTTGGCTGCATGCAAATGTGTAGTCTAAAGGATTTCATTTTTCTGTGGTTAGATTTGTTTTAAGAAGAGTCAAGAGGCATTGAGGGTAGAATAACGTTAGCTGGACGAAACCAAAATCTTGTGTTAGGACGTTTCCTTCATTGATCCGGGTAAGGGAAACTTATGTATTTAATTCATATTTTGTTGTATGATTGAAGATAACGCATGCCTGTTGATGAATGAATGAATGTATGTGTATAGTATGAGTGTAAATGTATGACTGATGAGGAACTAAATGAATAGAGTATATGTTGGCTGTGATGTATGATCAT